CCGGTAACTGAAGTAGCAATGAGATGCCGGAGCTAGTAACGAATAGGAAGAGAAATCATCTGCATTAGCTTTGGAGAGGCTGATGACAATCTTCACTACATCAGAAATGCTCCAGCTCAAAAAACCCAGTGCTATATTATTTTACATTGTTGGCACCAGTGGCAAGATCATGACATAAAGAATGATCTTTCTCTGTGTTGATAAGGGTAATTTACAATGAAATAAATAAATACATATTTTTTTTATTGTGGTTTTCCTATGCTCCATTTCAGCTCTTGTGCATCACAATTCATGTCTCTCTACTTTGTTACAAGGTGGAGAATAAAGAAACAAACAATTGCAAAGGGAAAAAAGGACTTGTGTGTCCCTTTACTGAACTTTTATAATTTATATAAAGTTTCCACAAATCCCAAACTGGGTTTTAGACATTTTGTTAATAGTTTAGGATAATATCTCTTCTTAAAAAGTCTAAGTACTGCTTTTTGAACTGGGTGGTTCTGTTTTGGTCCTACGGCAAAAAAGGATTAAAATGCGGACTTATAAATTTTTTACAAAGGAGGTAAAGGTTTAACTAATCCCAAACTGTGTTCATTGTAGTCTCCAATTAGTCTAGAATAATATAATCCATTTATGATGAGTCAAGGTACTGTATCCTTCAAACTAAAGCGAATTACACACACCTAAATTAGTGAGAAAAATGGTGGAAAAGCCCTTTAGGCAATTCCCGATTTGAAGGCTTCAATACTGAGGCAACTTCTTGTTATAGTGTAACCGTGAACACCTGGAACCAAACTCCCATGGTATATATGCATGGACATGCTCACATATAAAGGATTTGCAAAGTTTCTTCAGAGGCAAAAATATGCTTAATAGTATTTGTTGGGGGCCCAGGACTCACCCTACAGGACTCTGAGTAGAAAAAGAGGTAAAATGAGCCCCAGATTTCCAGAGGCACCCCAGATTACTGGGAAACAAGGAGGGAAGACATAGGGATGGGCGCACCCAACGGAGAAGGGCAGAGGTAAGCACTCAGAGCCCCTGAGGGGCCAAACCCCAAAGAGGCCCAATTCCTGATTGGCCAGATCGTAACGCTGAGGCTCCACAGGGCCACAGAAGCCTAAGGTGGACCCGGTTGAGAGCCCTGAGGTTCGGGGGCGCACCTCCAACTAGTGGGGACCTCACAGGGCCAGGAGGCCCAGCAGCCACCAGGAATGTGAGCTCCACTGAAGTCCAACTCTGCACCTAAAGAACCATCAGTATGCCAGTAAACACTGGGACCTGCCACTGGCAGGGAGCAAAAGAAGGGGGAGGAGGCAGGCCCTGCTTACAATTATTGTTTAAATATATTTATTATACAAATTTTACAACACTTAAAATCATAATCAATGTTTGTTTGACATCCAGCATTCCATATTAAAACAAACAAACAAACAAACAAAAATCTATCTTTTTCCATTTTCATAAATATTTGAAAAAGTTCCAGGTGGCCGCAAGGGAGCCGACCCCTCCCCTAGTGGGAACTGGCCCACAAACCCAGGAGGAGATCCCTAGACCATCAAGTGTGGGAAGGGGGCAGGCAAAAAAACAGCATCCCCACAGACACCATAGCAGTTAGCCAACATGCTGAAGAGCCCACTCAGTCCCCAGCTAGTCACAGCCGTTCCAGGCCTTCGAATCCATATGGTCCTCTCATACTGTACCCATGGCTGCCATGCAATTGCTACCCTCCTCTTACTTAATATTTCTGGCATCTCATTCGTGGGTGCCAGCCTATCATTGATCAGATCAGTAGCTGGCATCAGAATGGTTAAAGCCTCCTTCGATGAGAAATTAGGTACCGCTGGGTATGTAATGGTCCTGCTTTTGCTAAAATACCGAGCCAAAGTGTTTGTACTTACTTGGACTTGGTATTTGGTGTATGTGTGATCTATAAAAACCCAGTGAGGTTTTGGAAGTGAAGGGTGGCTTGACTTCAGTGGAGTTAACCAGTATATTAGGTGCAGAAAGCGATGCAGACCATTATAATAATGAAAAGATATGAGATTAGGCATGAAAAAAAAATCAGACATCCCATGATATTAAAGAAGGTTAGAACTTAAGGACCTCTTTAGCTCCCCGTCTGCTGCTGTAATTTCCTTATATGTTATGTTGTATTGGGGACAGAAAAAGACTGGACAAACTGCTAAGAAAAGCCGCTTCTGTACTATGCTTCACTCTAGACTCAGTGGAGGAAGTGGCTGAGAGGAGGGTGCTGTCCAAGCTTACATCCATCCAGGATAACTCCTTCCACCCTCTGCACCAGACTGTAGAGGAGCTGAGAAGCTCCATTAGTGAAAGACTTTTACACCTAGTATGTAAAAAGGAGCACAACTGCAGGTCATTCATCCCTTCTGCAACCAGACTCTACAATGCGGCACTACAACAGCAATAACTTGTGCAATTTATAATGTGTAATTACTAATTCATACCCTGTGCAATAACCTGTGCTCTATATTTGACACAAAGTGCAATAACTATATATATAAATATCCATCTTTATAAATACCAGTGTAAACAACTGTGTGCAGTAACCCTATATTATAATCCTATAAAAAAAGGAAAAGCTTTCGTATATGGACACGCTGTATATATTTCTCCACTGTGAGATGAATAAAGTCAGTCAATCAATCAATCGATCATGGCTGCACACTATGTAATAATGTCTCATCTTAATTTTTTTATCTAGGACAAATGTAATAATAATGATTTAATAAGAGTTAAAAAAATATATAGAGAAAATGGCCAATCCAAAAAAAGTGGAATAAGTCTTCTGGATGGATTTTGCTTGGTTGAAACATTTTGTCCCTTCTTAAAGAAACTTTGCCAGTCTTGGGAGATTGAGAACGTGCAAAACAGTGGCGCTGCTGCTCCCTGAAACAGGGAAGGCTCAATGGTGTTAATTGAAACCAAACACCACTAATTGCATTAAAGGAAAAATTCCAGTCAGTAAAGAATAATCAATGGATCATTATCTATACCTAAAACTAATATGTTCGTTGTGATTTATTGAATTTAGCATTAATCAGTAAAAAAATATAAACTATAATTTTCGTCGCTATCACTGAGTCCTGGACCAGCCATTTTTGCCCAAATATAGTAACACCTCACTCCTGACATCTTCCGGCAGTGACGTCACGTCCGGTAAGCCTAACGCCATTCTCCCCGCTTTACAAGCAAAATCAATGGGAACTATGAGACACATCTGCAATCAACAACAGTTATTTAAGTTGTCGAGAGGACTTCACCATTTAAAGTCACCAGAGCTATCGTTAAACTGACAATGCCCAGGTGCATGGCAGTTGGATGTTGTAACACATCAGGTAAAAGTGAAAAAAAAAATAAAAGAGCTATTTCACCTATCCGATTCATGATCCTCCACGGACGGGGTTGGTCGTCAGATTGCCAACTTAAAGAGGGAGGATTTGCCATTGAACTTATGGCCAGACAAAAAAACATGTCATATGTAGCCAACATTTGAAGAAGAATGTTTTCAAGATGACTTTGTTAATAGCGCATTGTGACAAACACCAGATACAGCATTTGGACTTGCTCAACAGCCGATACCGCACCGTGACGTCACAAACCAGTAGGTGGCAGTAGTGTTCTTTGACAAACATGGATGTCTCCAGTAAAGCACATTCAAATGAAATTACTCTTAATTAAAAACACCTACTGTATAATTTCTTGAACAGCATGTAAAAATTTTATATGTAAAATACTTTCAGAAGTTTGAATTCTGAAAATGACCAGACTTTTCTTTTAACAAATGTTGGTACGGGGGGAAAATAGCTATTGTGAAGGACTATGAAACATAAACTCCACAAACCACAGCATGAGTTTGGCGTAAGATGAATGAATAATAACTTTTCCTTCTCGACTCATTAGTAAAATCTCCTTGCTGCCTGGCTACTGTCACTCAGAAATCCTTAAGTATGTTTGACAATCAGTATCAACCAGCCAGCTTCCTTTCTTTCTCCTCAGCAGGGCTGGACGGGCAGGTGCTCTTCATCTAGCTGATTACCACCCTTCTTAAGGAGCTGCGACCAGGAGGAGGGTGTCAGTTCGTTAATGCTTCTGCGTGGTACAAACTGATCCTTAACCAAGCCTTGCTTCTTAACTTTACCCAGATCCTAATCCCACTCTCTGTTTGCTCCTTCACAGAACCCTGGATCCCAAGCCCAAAACCACTACACAGAAATGTCTACACTCTGGACTCCTGCCAGAGACACTTTCAGTCAGCCTTCAGGAACCCATGAGGCTACAGGCCTCTGAATTGCTTAAAGCCTTCCTGACTGAGCACAACTGCCTGTTCACCCTCTGACACCAGCATCGGATATCACCAACCGGACCTGCACCTTCTGCCTGGACCACTGGTCACCATCCTCCCCAAAACTGACGCCTAGCCTCCCTCTCTGTGAGTTACAAACAACCAGTTGCTCACCTCTCACCTCACCTCTTCCAACAGAAGCCAGAAAACCCTGCCAGCCGGAGTCCTATGTGTACACACCACAACCTTTAATAAAAACTCTAAACTGATCAGGGTCTCTGTGATTGCTCTCATTCAGAGCCTAAGACAATACTGGGGTGGGCAATAAATGTATTAGAGCTGCACAACAAACTTCAGTGGTATCCAGAATTTAAACTTCCATGCTTTAGGTCAGTTAAAAGATAAGGGCAACAGTAAGGCGACATTTGTGTAGAAAATTTAATATGTTACACCTGCATATGAAATATGGTGACAGACACAAATATTAAAAGTCCAAGAACTGACCTTGTGGGTGGCCCACAGGGCATGATGATTTATTTTAAATGTCTTACCAATAGTTACATGTCAGATCAAACCTTAATACTCTGTGGCTAAAATGCCAGATCACACTGAATTTTTTTTTTTTTTTGCAGTATCATAAAGTGTTTCTCAATATTTTAATTACTCCATCATGCACATATATACAAGGGTGCTACTTTCTACCACAATGCAAAGTGTCATAATTTCAGAGACTCATCTTGCACATTGAACAGCATTTTGATCAGTCAACAGAAAGGTAGGAACTCAATTGTTTTTTTGTTTTTTTTAGCTTAATTTACTTGTGAGTTTTCAAGCATAATACTTTGGAAATTTAATGAAAAAAGGATCAGAGAAAGAAACTTGTTAATTTCATAGGCAGAAGGAAGAAATCTTTCAATTGTTCTCTGTGTTGTCTCTTACAGGATGAAGTGCACCACCCTATTTCTCGTCTTGTCCATGGTTGTCCTGATGGCTCAACCTGGAGAGTGCTTTCTTGGACTGATTATTAAGGGAATTAGTACTGCTGTTCACCATATTCGAGGGTAAAACTTACGCTGTCCTTAACTCAACTATTTGCAAATCTGTTGGTTTATAAAATCATTATGATGCATGTTGAAAACATATAATTAATCAAAATGTCAAAAACCTTGTTTCATTGTACTGTGCGCATTATTTTCTCCCTACCAGCCTAATACATAGACATGGAAAAGTTGCAGAGGACGAAGCTGACCAACAACTGAAGCAGCAGCAATTAGACAAACGACAATATGACCAACAGTATCTGGACCAGCAGGATCTGGATCAGAAGGATCTAGACCAACAGGATCTTGACAAGCAGGACCTGGACCAGCAGGACCTGGACCTGCAGGATCTGGACCAACAGGATCTGGACCAACAGGATCTGGACCAACAGGATCTGGACCGGCAGCAACAGGACCAAGAAGAGCAAGACAAACAGCAGATGTACAAACGCCACTAAATAGGTCATTCCAGAGTTGCTTTCATTCTTGCCTTAAAAATAGTTCAAGTATCAGTAAACTTGATTTTGTTATTACATCTGCTCTGAATGCATTGCATTTGTGATTGGGCACTTCTGCACAGTGAAAATCAAATAATAAAGCTTTACAGCTTCTGCAAACACCCTGTTTGGTTTTAATAATTACGAAAGCTGGAAAGGTTTTTTACAGGGATATCTAGATTTAAAAAAAAATGTATGTATTGCTAAAAAATATATAAAAAATGCCTTGCATCTTGTTGCCATATTAGGATTGCCATAAAGCATATTACTTGGAGGAAAAATTATGGATATTCTTTCTCTATCTTGCTTTTTCCCTCTCTCTATCTTAATTATAAAATAAAAATCAGGCATAAAAATAAAAAAAATAGGATTATCTGAGGACATTGTTGGATCTACCAATTTCCATCGTGTATTTTGTAAGTTGAGAGTGAACACAATAGCAGGATCAATACAGACCTTAAAGGTTTTAAGGAGGAAGAAGAACTTGTAAAGTGTTTTCTACTGTACAGAAAACAGTTTACACACGAAGGACATCTAAAATAACTGCAAACATGCCTTGGCCTTGTTAACAGGTTTGGTTTTGTTACAAAATACTGTTTATCATTCCTAAAATGACTTACTAAGCAAGTTTATCAGAAGGTGTGCAGCAGTGATGGAGGAACTGGTGGAGAAAAGGACAAGGGCAATGATGAAGTCTATAAGGGCCAACGTGAGCCATTTATTGCACTAAGGTAACAATCTCTCTATCTAGAGTAGTAGCCTTTCAAAATGTCCCTACTTTCCTTGATGGGCCCTTGGCTGGTCCTTGGCGGGTGCCCTACAATTCCTTTTTAAATATCTGTATTTGTACTAAAATATTTGTGTTATGATTAGCGGACATTAAGATCTAAAGAGAAGCGTCAGCTCCTGGTCAGACCCTGTAATTCAGTGAAAGGGTGAAGTCGGAGTAAAAAGTTGGAGAGGATTCTGCTAGGAGCCGTAGGAAAGTGGGTTGCCATTCGGTTGGTGTTTAACGGAGAAGGGCCATTTTGAATGGCTGCTACTGTATTAAATATTTAAGTTGGCACTTTACATAGTTGACATCTTCTTCTCCTTTAATTAATACAAGGTTTCCATCCCACAGCATAATATCAATACTAAAGTTATTTTTAATATCCCTCATGAGTCATATTAGTTGAAGCAGAGTGCCCTCTACTTAGGATAAAAATAATAATCTTTATTGTGCAATTCAGAAGGTTAAGAGAAAATAAAGTGCAGTCTATACAATAATAATAATAATAACAATAACAATAATAACAGCAACAACAACAAAAACAGTCGTACTAATATAAATAATAACAATAATAACAGTTACTCTTCTCATAAGACAAGTTTGATCTAGTCAAATGGAACATATTAACATAATGTTTATAATTGTGGTGGCAAGAGAAAGCATGTACACCAAATAAAGCCACCCTATCAGACTTTATGTGAAACATGGTTTACTGATATCACTGAGGTATAAGAACCCAATCGGATATGTTAATCATGGCTTATCTCCATTCATTGGACGCTGGTGGCAACATGAGCCCAGCATAGTGAATTCTGTGCTAATACTCTGCAAAACTTAAATGAAGTCGTGTTTAAGTCCTTTTTAAGAGTCATTTACTATACGAGGAAGTGTTATTGAAATAGTTATTTAAAGGGTGATCACCCCAGGCAAAAGAACTAGAAATAAGCCCTCTGGAGACAACAGCCTTCATTGCATCCTGAAAGCAGACTGCAACATTCCAAAGTCTCTAAAATATCAAGCAGTCTCAGTGTAAATACCTCTTAAAGTTCCCCCTGGGCAAATCGGTCGCGGGCGGGCTTTGGAATTTCTGCGCATGTACATATACATATTTCAATGTCAAGATAGCATGTCCGCATATCTATAGGCCACTCTAATTCTCCTCTTTTCAATGATACCGAGCGTGCTGAACCTTGACAATCGGAAAGGCCATTTTATCGACAGAAACACAAAACAAAAAAAGTTCTTTTTTTTTAGATTTTAGTCGTCCCATGTGTAAACTCCAATATTTTCTCCAAGTTTGGTCTCTTTCATAAGGACATACTGTAGGCACAGTCACAGTCAAGATCTTGATCCACTTGACATGCTGCAGATTGTTCAAAATGGGCTTGCCTAAAATATATCTCTTAAACAATTTAAAATTTGTACGTTGGGAGGGGAAAACTGTCCTTAATCTTATGGACTACATCATTATTTTTTTTCACAAATCTAACAGTGGGTGGGTTGGATGTCCTTACCATTTGTTTAAATTCTGCATTACTATTTTTACGCCATCAGACAGCAAGAGAATATTTTCTTTTTTCTTATTGTTGATGATAATTGATTATATTTGCCCATAAATCCTGATACATTGATATATATATATATATATATGTGAGGACAATTATGTTTTTGTTTTGGTGATAAAGTTGTTTTCTACCTGAGCCACAGAAGTGCAAGCACATTCCTTCAGAGTATGGGCATAGAGGTGAATATCAATAGAATCAAACCATAAACTCATTATAATGATATTTATCATTATTATAATGTCCTCCATCACAGTCTGTTGGAGGACCTGATTCATTGTAACCAAAAAAAAACATGCATAGTCTTACTGGTATTTAGCAACTGGAAGTCAACAGAAAGGAAACATGTATAAAAATATAAAGAAATATAAGAAATATAAAAATTCCGCTATCCCTGCATATGACACAAGAAGGTAACGTGTGGCACCCGAGAGGTGCGATCATCTTTAAAAAAAAACATAAAAACCAAACAGACTGCGGCGATTGTGAGCAGGGCCTTAAAAAGTTTAATAGATTAAAAGTTCAATAATTTACGTAAAAAGACGAGCTCACTAAAAGTGTTCAATAAAATACGTTAAAAGGAAAAAGATAAAAAAAAATAGATAAAAGAGAAAAGATTAAAAAGAAAGATAAAAATCCAGATGGTGGAGAGCAGCAGAGTCAATGGGGAAGTCTGTTAAAAGACGCGCACTTGGCGGGTATAATGGAGGGCACCGTCCACCCCAGCGCTGGGTCCTCGTTTCGGCACGCTGCGCGTGTGGGCCTCTCCAGCGTAGCTGGCCTGCGAGGTCTCCTCCAACACGCGCCTCTCGCCAGCGTGCCTCTGCGCCTCGCTCCATGACGGGCCTCTCTGCACCCCGCTCCGGTGAGCGTCTCTCCGGCGTGCGTCCTTGCACCTTGCTCCGGTGCGCGTCCCTGCACCTCGCTCGCTCCGGTGCGCGTCTCTCCGGCGCGCTCCTCTCCGGTGCGCGTCTCTCTGTCCGGTGCGCGTCTCTCCGGTGCGCGTCTCTCTCTCCGGCGCGCTCCTCTCCGGCGCGCGTCTCCCTCTCCGGTGCGCGTCTCTCTCTCTCCGGTGCGCGTCTCTCCACCTCGCTCCGGCGGGCCTCCTGCCGTCAGTCCCCAAGGCTCTCCCGCTGCTTCCCTCTCACTCGCTCCGTCCGGCTCCCTCCAAGATCGGCCTTCCCCAACCAAACCTTCCCATGTCCGGTGTCTGTGCCTCCAACCAAGCAGCTGCCTTTTTTAAATCAGCGTCCCAGTCGGCACGCTGCTTAGTTGATTGGGAACACCTGTGCCGTTGTGGGCGTGTCCAGGTGTGTGTGGCAATGTGGCCTCCAAACAAAATCCAAAAAAACATGCAACACACAAAATTGAAAACAAGCAAACAAGTTCAAAAATAAAGAAAATCCAAAATTAGAAAACATGCAACAACTTAACAAAAAGGCCACATTACCACAAACGCGTACTTATAATAATGAGAGCTGGACCTCTACAGGTCAATGTAATTCATTTTGATAGCTTACCAATAGTCACACTTAAAAAACTACATTGTAGGTAAGATCAAAACTAAATGCTGTGGAGCTCAAATGGCAGACCTCATGGGTACACTTTTTTGCAAATTCACAAGATGTTTCCCAATATTGAAATTATTTCTCTACATCATCCTTATATATAAGTGGGTGAAGCATCTTACCAAGATGCAGAAGACCATTATTTGAGAGACAGTTTTCTGATCATTCAGTGGAAAGGTAGGAAATAAAAGAATTTCAGTTAAATTCAGTTGTGATATTTCAGGACAATATGCATGTATCTAATGTTTTGGGAATTTTTTATGGAGAAAAGCTTTACCAGAGTTACTAACTTGTTTCTTTTATATGCATGACAAAAAACCTTAGTGTGTTCATTGTGGTGTGTTTTACAGGATGAAGTGCACCACCCTATTTATCGTCTTGTCCATGGTTGTCCTAATGGCTCAACCTGGTAAAACTCTCGGGTAAAACTTACGCTGTCCTTAACTCAACTTTTTGCAAATCTGTTGGTTTATAAAATCATTAATATGAAAACATAATTAATCAAAATGTCAAAAACCAAGTTACATTGTCATATACACTGATCTTCTCCCTACCATGAGATATGGACTTGGAAAACTTGCAGAAGTTCAAGCTGACCAGCAGCAACTGAAGCTGCAGCAATTAGACAAACGACAATATGACCAGCAATATCTGGACCAGCAAGACCTCGATCAGAAGGATCTGGATCAGCAGCAAGACAAGCAGCTGATATACAAACGTCGTGACCGTTTCCGTGGCTAAATAGATCATTCTGGAGTTGCTTTCAGTTACCCCCGAAAATAGTTAAAGTATCCATATGCTTGGTTTAATGTCTGTTAGGGCACTTTTGCAAAATTCAGATCAAATAAAAATGCTTTAGAGCACATTGCAAAAGCTTTCTCTCTAAGGGCTGCTCAGTTGCCACAGTTCTCACAGCTTGAAAGACATTTGTCATAGCTAAGATCCGCAAAAAACATTTGAAACATTTGCTGCATTTTTTAAAGAATTTTGAAAGAGTAAGATCATTTTGTTGTCATAATGAATTTACTATCTGTGTTGGTCTATATTCATACCAATAAATGTATTCTTCTGCTCTCTCCTACATGTATTAGTACTAAAATAAATAACATTTCAAATAATAAAGCAAAAGGTGTTATTTGATAAAATGTAAAAGTGCTATTTAATAATGTTGTATGATTTAATATGTTCTTCTAACTGTAGTGAGAGGAGAGTGAAAAC